GAATTAGTTCTTTTTTTCAGAATGTTAAGACTTAAGAGTATGTTCGTGCGTTTAGCCGTTTATATGTTAAAAAAACTAGGGTGTTCAATGGTTTGGTTCGGTCATTATTTTATAAGATTTGTATCGTATCAATTTTTCGATTATCCAATTATGTATAATCAAAATTAGACTTTTTTAAACTATCCCAATCACGTCGGTTTCTATTCGGTATCAGTACGATTCGCTTAATTTTTGTTTATTTTTTTAATGTCATGTAAAAGTCACTAGTAGAAGTAGAATGCAATAACTTATGTACTTTTATAGGACATCGCAAAACTCTAAAGGCATTTTTACTGTTTAAAAGGTGATGAATTAAGAAAACATGAAAGATGGCCAGAGTATAGATCCATCAACTATTCTATAGCAGTTTAAAAGAAACTGAGCAAAAATAAAAATATATATAAATTACAGCGAGTGAAAAGATATTAACCAAGTTGGGACTTAAGAATAAAGTCTATAAAAGATTAAATATTTAAAAAAATAAATCTAAATCATACGAAAGAAAATATATTCAATACATTGTAGTTTTCTACTCATAATCGGTAGAATACCTTGCGTCTTGCTAGTGAATATGCTGAGAATAATTTAATTTCAATAGGAGTAGCATAAGATGTTTGAGAATTAGGATTTTGAGTTAATTACTTGTGGGCTTGTAACTGTTTTCATAATTCCAAATCCCAACGAAATAATTAATGCTTTATTATTTTAAAACTTAATATATACATATATTTTTCTCATGTAAATTTATTCGGTATGGTTCTGTATTTTTTTTGATTTATTTTCATAAAACAAAAATCTACCCTAATTATCGTAATAATTATAGATTTACATAAAAATCTACAATTTTATAAAAAGAAAACTAAAAATCGGTATGATAAGGTACAGTTCAGTATATTTAATCGATTTTTAAATATCCATTGACACCCCTATTTATTTATTTTAACACCTACAGCAAACAAAAATATGTGTTAGCAGTTTATTTAGATAATTAATTGGGGAAAACAGATACAAATAAACTATATTAAAATGTTTCAAATATCCTGGTCCTTCTTCACCAAGTAATACGTCATATTATTCTCCTGCTGACTATTACGATGTTTACATTTGTTAAAATATATATATATATATATATATATATATATATATATATATATATATATATATATATATATATATATATATAGATATATAAAAACTGATAAAATTATCCTTAGGTAACCTGCTATAAAAAAAAATAAAAAGAGTTTCAGTATAGTTTTAAGTATACATATCAAAGAAAGAGTTTGTTAATTATATTCCATATTTTGATGGTTTGTTAATTATATTCTATATTTATATGTATATATACTATGTGTTGACTCCCGGCCCCTTAATTTTTTGGTATGTTTACTTTTATATATTTTGACACCCCTTAATAAAAATTCTGGCTCCGCCACTGATTGGGTAACAAAGGAGAAGAGAGATAGCATCCCGACTGGCTATCGATGAGGAGAAAAGAATCCTAATGTATGGTCCTAATTTAAACATGTCACCTGCACGACTCACTACATAGATTTAAGGAATGCAGGATAATGTGATTCCTCGTCTGATATCTTGTATTACTGGATACAAACAAAAAGGTCATAAAAACTATAAGACGTGTGTCATCCATGTCGCAAACTTTTGATCAAATACAGAATTTCTTTTTTCTGTCTGTTTCTGGAATTGCATGCACAAAAATGTAATGGTTTATAAATATAAATATAATGTACATGAGCAGTTGCATGCGTATGGAGCTATTGTACATATACTGTACCTCTTCTTGGTTCCTGACCTAAAAATAAGGTTATCCAAAAGTTAAAATTGACATATCTTTCTATCTAATATCTGGGTAAACTTCGCGAATGGTTCCTACATAACTATGTGTCTTTAACACAAAGTCACACAATATTATTTTATCACATCAAATAACGACACCAGGATAACTAAATGATCACGATACCGTAAATATAAATTTCCCGTGGACTTAAATATATCTTTGCATTGGTGCAACACACAATTTTTTCACTTATTTCGTTATATAAATTAAATACTTTTTTCTATTTACTGCGCGATAAATCAAATTGTTCTCGCCGTGTGCAAATAGTATCATCATAGGACCAAAAGAATAACAATATAATGGAGAAGAAATGGGAACGTAACAAAATTGGAACGTGTGATATATTTTGGTGGAGTAGTAACGGGACGGGGACCCGCAAAGGCAGAAGGTGAGCCAGGGGAGTAGTGAGCTTAATGATGCTGGCTAGCCCACGCTAGACCCTGTAGAGCCGCAACGTGAACGGGCTCCAAACAACCCCATCATTTCTCCTTCCCTGGGTCCCGCTTTCCACCCAATTGTCATTACCCCGTTTATCTCTCCTTCTCGTTACCAGCTCAAGCCGCCGCATTATTTACTTGGCTTAACTAGCTAACATGTTCTTTTTCATTTATTTCTTGAATGTATTTTCGTTGTTTTCCAGTAAAAGGGAGAAGATGATTTTTGCTACTTATGAGTATGCATCGTATGTTTTTACTAATGTCTTATAAAATTTTACTCGATTATACTTCAACCAATACTTAGATACTGTTTTAAACTTAGAGAAATTAAAAGTATCGCCTAGAACACTATTCTCATGTATGTATCATGCATCCAAATATGCAAAACTTAGCGATGAATTATTTTCTACGTAAAACATTTTAAACTATAAGGTCTATCGGAAGCATGTCTACCTCACATAAGGTAGGTAGGTGTAAGGTCATTGTACACCCCATCTTCCTCAGACCCCACTTGGGGAATCACACTGAGTATTTTATTGTTGTATAACATTTCAAATTATACCAAAACACCTTCAAATTTGTTCTTTATGAGTTCAGATTTTCCAATAGCAAGAACTTCACCTGATCAAGAAGGAATTGTCTGACTTGATTAATATCATGTGATTTTTAGCATAATAGTAAGTCGCGTGGTTCCTACTTTTTTGGGGGGGTCAATACCATTGTTAAGAGGGTAATAAGTTTAGGGTAGGAAACAAAACGGCAACGGGCTTCAAGCTCCGTTTCACGACTCTCCATCAGCTGAAACAGTATAGGGTTTACATATATAAGTAGCCATATTGAGAGCTGTATAATGATTACAGTCGGTGGTGGTGTAGGAAGCGTATTAGTCACGGGCAACAACAAAAACTGCCTCACTTCAATCATGTCTCGTACATTTGTATATTTGATATGGTAATTCAACTTGATACCCAATATCTACTGCTGCTTATGTCTTCCCTCTTCTGCAATTTCTACTGTGTTTTCTTTTTGTCTTTAGCCTTGTGTCTTCTTAAAAAGATCTAGAGAGACTTGCAATTTTATTTTTGTTGGTACACTTTAATAATTTTAGCTTAAGCTTGTTTCTTTTGCAAGGTGGAATTCATTAGTAAATTAGTTGAGGTGTTTAACTTGAAATTTGGAAAAGGGGAAAAAGAGAGCTTAAGACCATAATTAACAGACTCCCATCGTTATGATTCCCTATCGGTTATTAAGTCGAATCATTGCCGCTTTGTTCATACAGCTAAATCAATCTTCAAACTTAACAAGAAAAGGTCTAAACTTTTAGCATTCAGTTACAAAACCCTATCCACGGGAGAACCTAAAAGGTGAAGAAAAGAGAAAAGTAAAGCCAATTTGGACATAGTGAAATGCACGTTCTTTTGTTACTGCTGTGAAATTATGCCTCGTAGTCATGAAATGTCTTTAGCGAGAACAAGAGGTCCAACAAATTGTGGTGGGATAGTAAGTATTCTTTTACTTTTAACTAGAGGTTTTGGGTTCGAATCCGAAATATGAAATCAAATATATTAGGGATCATTTTGCCCCTTAATATGATATTTCCGGAAGCAAATTTATTAAATCTAATTAGGTCTCAATACAAGTACCGGATACTCCCCAAAAGAAGAACAAGAGGTGAAAGAATGTTAGCTCGTTGGTTCAGCTGGTCCCAAGTGGCAGTAATGTCAGTAAGGAACAAGAAAGGGTAGGGACTAAGGAGAATGACCATGGTTTGAATTGTTTGGGCCACCTTTTATTTACCTCTTTTAGACATGCATGAGGAGAATATTGTCCAATCCTAAAATTCTTTTTCCTGAAACATATCCTGTTCCATTACGTCATCACTGTAATGAATAAAACCAAAATAAGATTGATTTCTTTTCTTACTTGCATATTTTGGAATTAATCAATTTCAATAAGGTTCCTTAATTCTTAGGGTCTTTCGGGAGATCACCTGTGCAAATTCAATTAAGCTGATTAGTCTGGTGCCGTTACTCTCTTTGAAATCCCCCGTTTACCCTCCTTTCTTTGTCATAGAACTGTTCTCATTATTTCCTCTTATTTTTGTGACATTCAAACAGAAACAAAATATTCTCCTCCATATTGTTCTCTCTATGACTATAACTAAAAACAACCAAGAAAAGAAAAGGAAAAAGATAGTAAGAAAGTCATTATCAATGGTGGGTGAGTGGAGATGGCAGTTGCCCACACGCTGTGTGCCAAATTTTTTGCCACCTTTTTTGGCGCCCAAAAGCTTTCCCAACAATTCTGCTAAGCGAGAGAAACAGAAATGACTATTAAAGATTACGGTGGAGTGATAAATATTTCTCGGTCCTTAATCAGAGCTTCAGGTTCGACTTCTCGAGTCATGGATATGGTATTATATCTTGTAGGAACGTTTTACCCCTAAAAAGAGATTTCTCTACTCGAAATAGGATTAGTCAAGTCTCAAAGCAGATACCGAACACCAAATAGAAAACCAAAATACAGATAAACAGAAAATGACAACATATGATCAATTAAATTTTGAGCTATTATCACTAGTTACTACTCTATTACATTATCCTTCATCATTAGGGCTTTTTCTTTCTCTCTCTCTCTATTTGTTGGGTGGAGTGACTTTATATAACCCTATTAGTTCATCGTTCTTCCATTCCCTTGAGCCCTTTTCCATTTTCGTTCATTTGTCATCTTCTTAACTTTCCTCTCCTCGGGATCTGGTCCGAAGAGCGACCAAGTTGGAGTTCCACAATTCCCGAGGATTAAACTTTCAACTCTTCTCTTTTTTCTATTTTAGTCTTTTTGTCTTGTCTTGTCTCTTGTCTTTTACATGTACTTTCTGACCTCATCAAGGAAAAAAAAAACCCTATTCCTCTCTGCTCAAAATTGACTTTGCTCAGATCTGTGCACTTGAAAATTAAGGTTTGTTCCACCTGTGAGATCTTGTCCTTTATCAGCTTTATGCTTGTTATAAGTAATTTGTGACTATTAATGAGCTTATATAATTAAGTTATAATAGCAGGAATTAATTAACTGTTTGGTTAATGTGGTCTTTTCAATTTACTGTGGGTTTTTTCGGAATTGAATGTGCTTGTTGGTTTCTTCACACAATGACTGGTAATCTTGTGATAATTAGAAACACTCATTCTTGGCTATTTCTTTCATATTCATGTATCTCCGTTGATATTACATGCTAAATGATTATTATTGTTACTCCAACACTATCATATGCTTCGTTATATATAATCTATTTAGAGATGGGGGTAAATGATACTAACAGCTATATTAATCCTTGATTGATAAAAACACGCACGTACGTACTCCGGAAATAGAGATTTATAGTTGAAGATCCTACTTCTGTATTTGCTCCTACTATTATCCTTTAAAAATAACATTAATAGTAGTCCCATTTGTATACCAGGCTACTAAGAATTTATCTTCCTTAATATTCTTTTTCTGATCTGGACGCAAAATAAAGTCAAAGGACAGTAATTGCTAAAATGTGGACCTGAAAATATTCATGCGGATACTGTTTCATTCCTTGGATTAGATTATAACTATCCTTAAGAAGCGTTGAGTACTCGATGTAAATCAACAAAGTTTTCCAAGAAAATAAGCAATCTATTTCAATCAAGCATTTTCTCATGTCGAATTTAAAGGAGTTATAGACTTCGTCGTAAATTACTATCTAATTTTCTGCTTTATATATTTTCCCTTTTCTCAATATTCTTTTTTCCGTTTTCTCCATGTAGTTCGTCATTATATCTTGTTTATTGTCTTTGTTGGACTTTCTTAAAGTGTAGTCCACGCAGTTTGTAGTGTGAGGGGTGAGGGAAATTGGTCTTTGATCTGAATAATGTTTGCTAGAAATTAATCGACTTTGTTAAGATAAGCGATTTCTATTTCAATGTGTCGATGAAATGTTGTAAGTAGATCATGAGAAAAACAGCACTGCAGTTTGGTTGAAAGCAAAAGAGTAATTAATGTCTGCTTCTCTAATTGTTTAGAAAATTTGAAGTCACCTCATTTTGCAGAATTAAACATTCAGTACTGAAAAATGCCCTGATGGTTTCTACCCAATATCACTTCTTTTTTAAACACTACTTCATTGAAAGAAAAAAATGTCATCTAAATTGAAACAGAGAGAGTCTACAATTTCTTTAATTGGAATCAAGTAGAACTAGGCATACCCCCCCCCCCCCCCACCCACTACACACATAACACAACACACACCATATGGTAATTGTTCGACAAGAAGTCTACTATAGTAGCAAATCCTGATAGTTTTTTTTAATATTTTATGGACAATTTTATCAAATTAGGATCACTTTTATAACACATACACCTTTTTCTCTACATTTCGAAACGAATACGAGCCGTGTTATTAAGAGATTTAATTAATTGCATGCCCAAGTTGAATGAAACAAGGAGTCGACCTCCAAATTTATTTTGCAGCACTCCCATACTTCTCCAAGCATTTGGTTGATCAAGAAACTAAGTGACTGCATTTGTTTGTGCTCCACTAAATATATCATAATCTGGGATTAAATATTAAAAATCAGAAACTAGATAGAAACTTTCAGTCTGCACTTTGATCTCCTTACCAAGCTTTCAATGTAAGTACTGAAAGCTGATATTCTTTTATTTTTGTGAATATACATGCAGGTCATACAATATTTGATTGCTGCAAGATCATGAATTCTTTTTCACATGTTCCTCCTGGATTTCGTTTCCATCCAACTGATGAAGAACTTGTAGATTATTACCTCAGGAAGAAAATTACTTCCAGAAGGATTGACCTAGATGTTATCAAAGATGTGGACCTCTACAAGATTGAACCATGGGATCTTCAAGGTATTAGTATTAAAATATAATTAATAAATTTGCAATAACTCATATACTCAAAATATAAATGATCTAACGGGGAAAAATTCTTTGAATATAGAACTATGCAGAATAGGGACAGAAGAACAGAATGAATGGTACTTTTTCAGCCACAAAGATAAAAAATATCCAACTGGTACAAGAACAAATAGAGCAACAGCAGCAGGATTCTGGAAAGCAACTGGAAGAGACAAAGCTATATATTCCAAGCATGACTTGATTGGCATGAGGAAGACTTTGGTATTTTACAAAGGGAGGGCTCCCAATGGTAAAAAATCTGACTGGATAATGCATGAATACCGACTTGAGACTGATCCAAATGGTGCTCCTCAGGCAAGTTATTCTATTTTGTGTAATTTCAAACCTTATGCCTTTACATCTAGAATTATTCATGTGACTGGGAGGTTACGAGTTCAAGCAGTGGAAATAGCCTCTTACAGAAACGCGGGGTAAGACCCTTGTGGTCCCCGAATCCTACGCATAGCGAAAGCTTAGTAGACCAGGCTGATCCTTTATTAATTAGATCATATCTTTTGGTTGACCACATGCAAAGTCCTCCTAAGCAAATCAAACAATAACTCCAGTAAACAAGCTACACAATCAAATGATTGTTTTTGGACTTGTGCAATATCATTCTATTTCCCCCAAAGGCTATTTGGACACTTTCCTTGAAGAATTTTCTTTTACATGACTGTGTAACAGTGCATTTTAACCTCTATTTTTGGGTTTGCGCGCATAAAGTCCCACGTGAAAAATAGAAAAAAGAAGCTAGTTATGTGAGGCTTTTTGGAAAAACCGTACTAGTTTGATTGATTGTTGTAAAACAACGACAGGAAGAAGGATGGGTGGTATGCCGAGTGTTCAAGAAGAGAATAGCAACAATGAGGAAAGAAAGTGAGTACGAGTCACCAATATGGTATGATCATGATCAAGTCTCATTCATGCCGGACATGGACTCCCCAAAGCAACAACACTCTCACTCTGGCCTCACTTACCACTATCCTAATTACCCTTGCAAGAAGGAGCTGGATAATTTGCATTACCAAATTCCACCTCATCATCAGCAATTTCTTCAACTTCCTCTTTTAGAAAGTCCTAAGTTTCTTCCACCACCTCCATGCAGCTCAATGCCAGTATTTGCGATTAACGTTAATAATCATGTGCATCAGTATGGAAACAACAACAACAATATTAGTACCAATACTAATGAACTAGTTGGAGATGATCAAGTGATGGATTGGCGAGTGCTTGACAAATTTGTAGCTTCTCAACTTAGCCAAGAGGAGGAAAATGATTACTCAAATACCTTGCAGGCTGCTGCCGATGACTCAAATTTGAACAAGCAAGAAGCAGCTACGGAAAATACTTCAACCGCATCCTCCTCTTCTCAGATTGATCTGTGGAAGTAATTAAAATGAAATCCTCCTACTTAAGACAAGTAAATACTCATCATAGGAAGTACACTTATTTGTTGACTAAATATCAAGTATTATTTGTACATAATAATACTACGTACTATATATATGACCCTTGTACTAATATTAAGTTAAGAGAACATGATGAAAGAATAGGTGAATTATATATATGCAGCCATCTTTATTAGCTGCTTGAGATGTAATTGAAGCATTTTCATTTTGTCAGGCATGGCTATCGATGTTATGGTATGATAGCTACTGCTTTGGTTATGTAAACCAGTGGATATTTCGAATGTGTTTAAATGTTACATTATGTAGTGATATTAGACTAATAATATCCGTGTTTTATTTTTTGAATTTATTTTATATTGGTATTCATCCAGTTAAAGGAACTCCAAAAGGTCCTGAATGGGAGATTAATTTCCAATTTCAGTTCTTGACTTTCTTTAGGAAAATTTTTGTATCCACGAGTAAAGGGTAAATATTAAACTGGACTATTGAGTTCCATGCCTAAAGTCAGAAAAGGCTTAATTAACTTGGCAATATATGGTGTCAAAAAGACAACCCATAAGTACTTTTAAAGAACAAAGACGACATAGATGAAAATGAGAGCTCAAAATACTCCTACGGGAGTCCTCTAACCTGTTTCGTTAGAAGATAAAAAAGAGGCATGTTGATCTTAGCTCAATAGGTTGGCTACCCAAATTTCACCTTATTTGTGAGGCTTCAATTTCCCGCCGTATAATTCCTATCACTCGTTTCCCTTCTCCTACTCCCTATATACAGTCAAACCTCTCTATAACAGCCTCATTTGTTCCGAATATTTTTGGATGTTATAGCGAAGTGCTGTTATAGAGAGGTCTGACCGTATAATTTTAAAAAAATTAAAAATAAAAACCAATTTCAAACGTTTTAAGAAAAAGTAGACCGATTTCCTTGTTAAAGTTTAACTATATATGATTATATGGCAACCATTATATATGGTTAAACAATTGCAAATATAAACATGCATTGCTTATTGGTTAAGTCAGTCTTTGGTTTTAAAAAAAACTATTTTGGAAAAGAAATGATTTATTTTTCCGGCTTAATTTGCGGTCCATCAGCCCAAGAATATATTAACGTAACTTTGAAGGTGAGACTTATCCAGTTGTTGTGTTTCATCGGTACTCTTGGCAGCTTGAACTGCAATTGCTTTGCTTAAATACTTGTTGTTCTTCAATCTTGACAGAAAAGAAAAGAATCTGATAATACTCTGAAATATTTACCAGAAAGAAAGATCACCACTAATTAAAGTCCAAGTTATGCATGCCACTATATATGCTATCATTAGCTCTAAAGGACATTTATGTAGCTTGAAGAATAATGAATTCCAGCTATAGCACTAACATCTCCTACTACATGATCAGAGCTCTTTACTCAAATTTACTACTCCCTCAAAAATTACACAACTTTTTATCGAAACAAAAAAAAAAATATTTATATTATGCATATCGACGATGGAAAGACTTTTTTACAGTAAGTTGTACCGAGTAATATTTATCATAAGGAATTACCAGTAATTAATTAACTTATAAATGGAGCTGATTGTGTAATATATTTTATATTGCATGCATAGAATTTAGACAAAAGAACCAACAACAACAACAGTAGAAGCTTTCGTCTCAAACAAAAGGTTTTCCTTTTCTTCTTCTCTGTTCCTTTTTGGGAAAAGCTAGAAAGAAAAAAAAGGAGGATGAACACATTCTTATGAGATGGTCTTTTTCCAACATGTTGACATGCAGATGTAAGCAAATACTTAAAACGGTGAAACTTGCTCTCAGTCTCAGTTCCTTTTCTAAAGTATATTTGCCTAATTACCAAAATCTCCTGAGAGTTGAAATTTGAAAACGAGAACATTATCTTCAGGAATATACCAAACGAAAAAAGAGCTGGATACTTACATAAACCTTTTCGGAACATGCATTAGCTAGAAATCTTCCGAAATTAAATTGCTGAAGAACTGATAAACCAGAGAAAAATGAAAGGGAAGCTAAGTCAGAGTTGTTTGTAGAAAATCTTGTGGACTAAATACCATGAAAAGGTAGAGAGAGTCCGACTAATTGGGACATGGCTTTGTCTGCTAGCGATAATTTCGACCTTCGAAGTCCTTTTCAAGCAAAGGTAAGAAAATATTCTTCGAGAAAGCATACTCATTAAGTATGTTTCCCAACTCATTGACCGAGAGAGAGAGAGAGAGTAGTAATATTTCAATCAATAGAATGGTATCCTAGGATGAAAAGAAGAATTATCTTAAGTCAATCAGTCTGAAAAAGTGCGGATTCTAGGAGTGTGTTTGTTATAACGGAAAATAAAAATTTCTTGGAAAACAAGTAGTAATCTTATTCATTTTTCGGTGTTTGGTGTGCAAATTAAGGAAAATAACTTCTCAAGAATATTCATAAATAATTTAGATACAGTAAACATGAAGCCATAAACTTTCGAACCAACAACATTAATCCGAACCCATAAATTTCATAAACTTCCGAACAGCTAAACATTTGAAATCGGAACTTTGGAACCCGTAAACTTTATAATTTCTAAACCTGTAAACTTCCAAACACATAAACCTCCGAACTCATAACTTTGGAACTTGTAAAATTTCGAAATTGTAAACCAAAAGATGAAAAAACTAAAACTGAAAATATATAGAAAAAATATTTTTTTTCCCCAAGGGGGAGGGGGGGAAGGGGGGAGGGTGGGTGTGCAGAAAACGAAAAAACAGAAATTTGAAATTACAAAAAAAAAAAATTGTGTGGGGTGGGGGGCAGTGGGATGGGGATGGGAGGGAGGAGGTAGGGGTGGGTGGTGCAGAAAAACGAAAAAACATAAATTTAAAAATTACAAAAACAAAAAGTAAAAAAAAAAAGAAAAGAAAAAAAAATTTGTGCGGGGGTGGGGGGCAGTGGGGGATGAAAAAAAAAACTTTTATGGAGAGAGGGGGTAGGGTAAGGTGGATTGGTAAGGGTGCGGAATAGGGTGGGAAGGTTGAGAAGGAGTTTTGGAAAATGTTTTCCCTTCTCTTGATAAGGAAAATATTTTCCTCCAATTGAAGGAAAATGAATTCATAAGGAAAATATTTTTCAAAATATTTAATCCAACCAAACATGAAAAAATTAAAAAATATTTTTCGGCCTTCATACCAAACACACCCTAGGAGTCAAAACCATAGGTGTGTAAATACGCATGACATGAAGATGATGAGCACCTGGGGGATCATAATTAAGGTTCTTGGAAGTTATGTTTGTGTGTAAATTAAGTTAACATCATCGACAACTCCCATGTGACTGTTATTATATATGCTCTTTTCGATAAATGACTTTGTCCTGCATTCATAATTTCGTTTACTCTTCTCATAAGAAAAAAGAAACACTGTAAATATTTCTGCGTCCAATAATTTTCCGTGATTAATCCATTTTTTGATCGTCAACTGATCAATTTTTAGTAAATTCAGCACATCTTACTTAGCCTATAAATAGGAATATAAACAACTGTCGGAAATCAAATACTTGTGTAAATTTATTTCAATCGTTCTGTAATAGTACTGTGATAAATCACTCGTTGAATAGTGGTACTATTTTCTGCACCTCTTCCCATTTATGTGACATATTTTCTCAAAAACTATTTACTTTTAGCATTCCAATTATCCTTAGTGAAATGACTTTTTGCCCCACCCCTCCCC